TTCTCCACATATCCCTCACCGGGTTCAGCTGTCTGCTGCGCCTTCATGTTGGCAGCATCGAAAACAAACACATCGCCCAGTTCACTGGTCAGCCAGATAGCATTGCTAGCCGGTTTGCCCACCAGCGTGTTGATCTGACTGCACACAGACGAGAGGTGGGACAGCCAATCCTCCATCTCCGAATCGCTAGAGAACTGCAGCTTCACGGGCGAACAGTTAACAGGCAGATGAGGTGCGTGTATGGCGATCCGCGGTGCTCCTGCTTCGCTGCAGCATTGTACACAGGTAATGTCCGACAGCGGGAACTGAATTTTCGTGGTTGCTCCATCCGGACTGAGCACTGTAAAAGTGCCAGAATCGCCGGATCGCGAGGCCTCGCTGCCACTCGATCCACTGCCGCTGCTTACCCACTCAAGTTCGATGATGCAATCCTCGAATTCCCCTCCAGGTCGCTGGTAGCGAGCGTCCGCCGATTTCACCCAGGAAGATAGCTCCACTGCCTTCTCGAACTTGGCCACAGTCTGCAGCTTGGCCAGTTTGTCCTGCCGACGCTGTAGTTTGCTTAAAATATCCTTCCGCCAATTGGCATTGACATCCACTTTACTATCGCTAATCTGCTCGTTAAACCAATTGGGCATGTTGCTGGCATCCACGGTCACCGCACCCGGTGCGACACAGCTCCACAGAATGCCGCATTCTGTCCAGAACTGGGAGCCCGTATGGTCGTCATCCTCGCCCAGAAACACATCCGATCCGTGGTGCGTAGAGTCCGATTCGAAGACTGTCGAATCGCTCTCGGGATGTGCTTCGGTGCCCACAACAGACCCAACACTTCGCACGGGCGACCAGGCCCTCGGATTCTTCAGCTGAGTCTCAAACTTTCCGGTAATCTCCACTACATCCGCCGCTGGAGCACTGGAGGCATGTGAAGTCTCTCGCAGAGCCGCAGTTCGGTGCTTGTGACGATCGTTCAGGTTCAAACTTCCTATAGTCGGCGGTGAATCGGCACTGAGTTTCCAACGCTCGTTCTTGAGAACACCAGGTGGGCCTCCATTGCTGGAGAAGGAGCCCGTAGAACTGTTAAGCACAGTTTCTATGACAGCACACGTCTCCACGACGCCCTTTTCCTTCTCCTTTGAGTACAGATTTGAGAAGCTCTGGTGCTTTGAGCCTGGAGTTGAACTGCTGCCACCACTTTTGCGGGAGACAATGGATAGAGAGCTGGAAGTGCGGCTGATTTGCATGGGGCACTGAATCAATCGCCACTTTTTACCCGTAGGATCGGCAGCAGTCACCCCAGAGCGGTGGTATAAACAACGGTCAGCGGCTCCAACGGCAAATACCTGCAGGAGAATATGTTTTTTAATTTAAAAGATATTTGTTATTCAAAGAGCTGCTTACCTGATCGTTGGCAGCCACGGAGACCATGGAAATGTTTCCCACCATTTCCACCCAGCCCTTGCCAATAGCCGAGTCTTCGCTTATCCCCGCTGCCTCGCCCTTAATGCCTCTCCTGAACCAGGCATGATAATCGTTGGTTACACACCAAACAGCATCCGTTCCCACGGAAACGTGAACGATGCGCAAGCTACAGGTGGTCACTGGGGTCTTGACATCCAGCCAAGAATCTCCGACAAGGTTGTCTCGAGTTACACCAGTGCGGACGATGACACGTCCGTTATACAGAACCGCCCAGACCAAGCCCGTGGGTCCCACGCTGATCTGCGACAGTTCGCTGCCCGTTGGAGTGGCCACAGCTGTCCAACGGAGTCCCTCGGGTGATGTTTTAGACACCCCCGTGCGGAACATGGCCCTGCCGTGGGCGGTGATGGCCCAGACGCACAGAGTGCCGGCAGGTGCGTTGGGAACACAGGTTCCGCCGATGGCCACGTCGATAAATGGCTCCTGCGTGGGATCCTTGTGCAGTGGTGCTACGGCGCACCAACTATTTAGCGCGGCATACCTCCTGTATCTCACCCACTTGCGACGTCGCACATAGGAGTTCCAGGACTTCTTGGCCGAATACGTGGCCGGAAAGTCCAGGGCATACATCCAACCATCCTCGGGCAGAGGCTGGCCATCGAGCTCCAGGTCCAGGTGCCAGTCGCCGTCCCACTGCCAGGCCATCGAGGGCAGTCTGATTTTGTCCACACCTCGTTCCACACTCCCGTCGGCGGAGGAGTACCTGTACCGGTCAGTGGGCAGAAGCGTCTTCGAGAATCCCTCGATGGGCAGCCAACGCTCGTTCTCGTAGGACTCCTCCCGTATCCGGATGGGCACGTCCAGACCATGGACGTGCACGTACACCTGTCGGTCGCCGCCAATAGCCCACAGAAAGTTGGGCACCGCGCAGATCTTCTTGAACTCCAATCCCAGATAGGGAAGTTCCCGCCAAGCTCCGGAGCTGGTGGACAGCGTGTAGACGCGCCCTTCGCTGCTGGCGGCGAACAAGTACGAACTCGGCATGGTGGATATAGATCTTATACTACGGGACAAGGGATCCTCTTTTGTCTGCCATCATCGTGTTTACAAAAATTGATTTTTCTGAAGATAGAGCTGTCTAGCCAGTGATGGCACAACCGATGGCTAGGTTCCAACCGATAGTATCGTCTAAGTTGAGCTAATAAAAATTGAAAGGAAGTTGGTATATGTAAATATTTATCAATTTATTTCTAACCATTTGAATTTTAAGTCTTTTTGAATTATACATAAACAAACAATATTTTCTAAATAAAGGGCATGCAACAACCCTTTAAACACTAGTGTTGTTAACTTTTGTGAACCAGAGCATATAAAAACCGATTACTATCGAGGTTAGAGCTCCGATAGGACTGCGCACCCTCAAGAATTCGATTAGCCGATACTATCGCTAGTGGTTATCCCAGCTCTAATTGACGCCAAGAAATTATACATTACATTGATTTTGAAAAATATGGTAAAAATTAAAGCGATTTTTCTGCTCAACTTGCGGGTGTAGACCTAAAACCGGGAACGTCCGGTCAAGTACACTTCAACCCGACATCGTTGAAAGGGACAGCCGTGAATTTAACCAATCGGCGTGGCGACGTTCGACGCAGAAAAGCGAGCACGCGCAGGCCAGACGGTCGGTCGGTCGTATCAGCTGCTGACTGTGGGACCCGGAGGCCGACCACGGACCAATCCCCCACTGCGCCCGTACACCCCGGTCCGCAGACCCGTAGTCCCAGTCCCGAACCGAGTCCGAGGCCCTTCCAGCAGCCGGTATTTCGTTCTCTTGTGTAGTAAAACATATGTACACCACACGGCTGCCGAGTACAAACGTCCATCTGTGGTACACACATATAGAGGTGTATTAAACATATACTATATCCACTATATGTATCCCCCCAAACCCAATGTCCTGTGCATCCCGTAGAACCTATGCGCTGCATCCGCGATTCGGGGGTGGTCGCTCGGTCGGCCTGCCAGAAAACTCCCCTAAAAATAGCGTACGAGCAAGTGATTAAAAACCCTATTAATCGGAACCTTTCCTACCCCACAGTTAAACACTTTGGAGCAATAGTAAACTGGTCTTATCGGGAAACACAGTGTGGTAAGTGCATCCCAAGTCACCTGCCCAATTACAAAAAAAATCTATATATGTGACACCCACAACCCACAGCAAAACTCAATTTCGACGGACGGAACGGACAGACTCGGGAAATCACATCACAATAAGTCATGCCACGGGGAAAACGCCGAGCTGCAGATACTATTAGTGACAACATGGATCATGGTCAACCGAAGAGGGCCCGAACCAGCTACACCAGCATACCCACACAACAGAGCAGCAGGTGAGTGCGGAAAACAGGAACAAGAACAAAGGGCCTTCGGTGTTGTATCATCTGTTTCGGGGCAAAGCATCTGGTTTCCGGTATAGAGACTCCTCTGCCATTTCGATGCCGTATACATTGATGCTTTTCAAATTAGGATAAAACAAAAAAACCGAAACAAGATAGGTCGCAGCTGTTACAGAAATCATTCATGGCATTAGATGCAATTTTCTTATTTTCAACTTCATCAAGATTTGATTACAAAGCAACCCTCTTACCACTTATTTAAAAAAACCAATTGGGCCAGGAAATTACAAAAGGAGTATCCATCTTTAAAATACAAAATTTGTATTATTCATATCAGTTCGTGGAAATGGCTTATAGATACATTCAGGATTATAAGCACAAAAAAATCACATTTTCCGAAAGTCATTAGCCAATTTAGCAGAAATTGTAAAAAAAAATGTTTGTATAGTTTGTTTAGTTTAATGAGTGTTCAATATATTATTAGAAGAGATTATTCATATTTCAAATATTTAATTCAAATAATTATAGATACTTGACTTCTAAAAGATGACTAATTGGAAATTTATAGTAGTAGTTTTGCTGATTTATTACGATCGACTTATCATAAAACAGATTAGACAAACCCAATTTTTTTTTTTATAAATGAAAATTAGTTTCTGAGTTTTTTAATAGCACGAAGAATAACAATGACTAGAAAATAATTCATATTTGTACTTACTCAGTTTAATTTAAATTGTGTTATTGTTGCTTTTATTAGTAATGGATGTTGAGAAGTAATGTACAAAGATATCCTTCTCGTGCGAAAAGACCACTCCATATTAATGTTTGCCAATAATTAAAATCCCTTGTTTTCAGCAGGCATCATTATTTATTTCCACTTTAATTAAACTCATTAATACTTATTATAAACAAAAGCATTTAAAGTTCCTATATGCTTCCCCACACGCACATCTTTCAATAGTTCAATTGGCAAAGTTTTGAATGGATTAAGAGATAATGAATGTTTAATAGGAGGTGCAGGAGATTTTGTTTAACAATGTGTCATAAAAAAGCGAGTATTCAGTATAGATGTTTCGTTAAAAATGCTGAAACATGTGTATAAGTTTTGATATGACGTCCACGATGCCAACTTTGGTCTCTCGCTAATATTAGTTTGCCTGGTAAATAATAGTTCCTGGTTAATAATGATATATATTAACATTTAATAATCATATATGGTGTGCTATTATTTTATACATTAACAATATGGAAGACATTTGCATTTCTCATATATGTATCTTTAGTTGATTTCGATAATCTCTCGTAAATGTTAATCTCATTATTTGCCGGGGGACAACGCTTAATTTTGACTCTTAAAGTTTAAAAATAGGACTACAGGATTGCAATAGATCCAACAAACGTGGGGGATATGTGTAGACAACGATATGATCAAATAGTTGAACGAAAACGAACGCTTCACTTGGTACTTGGGACTTCTCTGCTCACTCCATGGAACCGTACTGGACCTTCTTGATTTTAAAGTACCTATGGGGAAATACTCATTAGAATGGTTAGGCTTAGGGGGAGTATTTGTACAAGTATTACCTCCAACCACCGTATCCGGAAATGGTCAGCAGTACGGCAATGGCGAGGGCAGTACCCACGGCCAAAGGCGCCGTCTCATCGCGATAGGATCCTGTGGCACTGCAGTGGAAGGAAGGGCCCCACTTGCCGCTGTCCTTGAACATGAAGCTCTGCATGTGCATGTCGCGCAGATATAACTTGGCTATGTGCCCCGACTGGTCGCCGGAATCGTGCGGGGCGTACATGATCACAGTCTGCTCCTTGTCGCACACATAGGATTTGCCCACCGGCGTGGGGAAATACATGGGCGTCTGGGCGGGTGAAGTTAGCTTCACATCCAAGTTGGGGCGATCAGGGTGCTCGAACAGCCAGTTGGAGGATGAGTAGGTCAGTTCGAATAGGTTGATGTACCAACCCTCGCCGCCGGACGACTGTGGGTTAAAGTTCAAATATTAGTCGATAAATAACCTTTAACAACCTCTGACCTTAACCAGTGAAGGGAACTTTCTACTCTGTCTGTCGTAATTGGTTGCAATACATACTCAATACTTGATTGTGCCTAGGGAGCAATCAGGTGTTAATTGAATTGACCATTTACCTATGTTGTTATATCTCAATTATCGATTTTTCGAATTGAATTTTTTATGAGAAAATAAGAAATAGATTTCTATTTTGACCTCTTACAAAACACCAGCAAGTGAAACCTTTGCCATCACTGGTTACTGCCCAACCCACGCACCTTTTTAAATGTCATGGACAGCCGGAAACCCTTAAAGTCCATGGTGAGAATCTCCATGTTGGACTCGACGCACTCGCCACTCAGCTGTGGATCGTCCGGCATATACAGATCGGCCTCCACATCCTCGTTGAGCTTGTTCCGGTACTTGATGCTTATGAGCCCATCCACCTGCATCAGGATGCAGGTAATGCCATTGGTGGCATTAAATCGATACAGCGAGGCGGTGGCATCGTGGTTCATGGAGGAGGCCTACAAGAGATTTAATCATTAGCCATGACAGGGAAGTGGGAATACCCTTGGTTGGTTGACTTACCGATGGTGATTTGGTTGTGTACTTGCTGACCCGCGGTGTCTTCGTGGTAAAGACACCAACCTGCAATCCCTGGGCGGCGGTCACTGAAAAGGAGTGGTTAGAAAAAGGCTTCACAGGTTGTCCCACAGATAGCTTTGTTCATTTTTCAGTCAGTGTGTCACACAACCGTCCTCGACAGTATCGATTTTCGGTGCTCCCACCACCACCTAAGAATCCAACATCCCCTGTCCACCGAATGTCTCTACTACTCACCCAAAAGTGCTAGGAGCGCTGAGCAAATCAGAGTTCCATTGATGCCATTGCCCAATCCTTGGACCCTGGACAAGGACTGCCTAAAGCCGGACAGTTTCATTTTCTCTAGCAAATCCTTGTGCACCTTGTGGCCAATTCAAATGACTATTTTACGCTGCAGTCTCCGCTCGACGCAACTACGACGTGTTTCCTGTTTCGGGTCCTGCGCACAACTGCGGCCCAAATAAAATCGCACTGTCCTGCTATCTCCTCGAATCCACCCACTACAACTGCCCCACTCCCAACTCACTCTTCCCTTATCCTACGACAGGATTTCACTCTCGCTTTTCGCCTGCGCAGTCGCTGATTATAGGACGCTGGAGGAGATGTGGGTATATTTGTATGTATGTAAGTGCACTGTGGAAAAAACCTTGCAGATCATTATGGGTATTGTATAGAATGGGGAAAACTGAATAACATAGAAAACAATTTTTTAAATTAATTGTGATGTATATTTAAAATTGTAACTTTTTAACTTAAATATATATTTTATCAATCAACTAAATGTGGATACGGAACGAAAGGAAACAACTTGATAACATAAGACGCAAACACGTAACTAAAAGTTTTTAGGCAACAAAAAACGTTTAAATTTTTATTTTTCCAAGAATGGGGTTTTCTATTTGTTATTATTATGGTTTTAATTGCTTTTATGAATCTTTTATAAACCGTTTTAATATACACTGGTCTGTCTACGTATTTTGACGAATCAAAAGTTAAACATACTCATTATTCAAACTAACCACATGTACATTTTGGCATCAATGGAAAGTCACTTAATTTCCGTTTGATTGATAAAATACTATTCTTAACCCATTTGGCATTTATTGAGATTGTCGAATCTTGCCTTGAAAAGAAACATTTTTTAATGAAAAAAGTTTTTCCAAACAAAACTAATAGTAACTACTTACAAAGTTATTATGTTTACTGTGGGAAGTTCAATTTAAGAATATTTTTTTTAATATGAAAACACTTGAATTTCTACCTGTGAAAAAAATTATATCACTCATAATTTTATGATCATTCATATTGCATCTAATGGAGGCAATGCAACACTGTCTCCCTGAAGAACATACAAGTTCGACAGCCTTTGGTTTTCCTATTTCGATTTGTCATATCTGGGTTGGCATTATTTTCTTTGCTTTCCTGTGGGCCCCCGTTCTTGGCATTGGCCTCGTCTTGTCTCTGCTCTGCCATGTTTACTATCGCTATTTTTAGGGGCAAATACTAAAAAAAAACCGCAGAGGAGAGGCAAGTCGAATAAAATAAACAAAAGAGGCCACACGGCATTAGCGACAGATTCGATTAAAACTCTGGTGTATACGTGGTGAAAGCAAAAACAGTGCAGTAAATTCCATATAATTAGATGGCAGAGTGTGTGCACATTGATTGAATCATTGAACCCCATTGATTAAGTCAAAAACTTGTTGTTTCTATTCCGCAGACGCCATATAAGAGCGGAGGATGGCTTCAGTCAAAAACGTTGTTTGACATGGTTCCAGGAATACACCACTCCAGATGAACCAGAGACATTAGGTGAGTTGAATTTAATATAAAATCTCATTGGAATATTTATGTTTAATGAATTTGGTTTAAAAATATCAAGTTTTTATACGTTGATACCTTATGCAAACTAAATTCTAGATATATCTGTGAGATTTTATTTATTTATTGGCCCCAGAAATACTTATGTAACTTTCTGATTCTTCAGGTCCCGATGGCATGGAGAAATTCTGTGAGGATATCGGCGTGGAGCCTGAGAACATTGTGATGCTGGTGCTGGCCTACAAAATGGGAGCCACCCAGATGGGCTTCTTTAGCCAGCAGGAGTGGCTAAAGGGCCTCACAGAACTGGACTGCGATTCGGCAGCGAAAATGGTTGTGAAACTGGACTATCTGCGCAGCATACTCAACGATCCCAACTCCTTTAAAAGCATCTACAGATACGCCTACGACTTTGCCAAGGTGGGTTTGGCATTATTTATGATCTTTGATCTGTGATTAATACGGATTTCCTCATTTTTAGGATTCGGATCAGCGGTGTATGGATATTGTCACTGCCAAAGCCATGCTCCAACTCCTTCTGGGCAAGCACTGGCCTCTGTATCCGCAGTTCGCACAGTTTCTGGAGCAGTCGAAGTACAAGGCGATCAACAAGGATCAGTGGTGTAATATTCTAGAGTTCTCGCGCACCATCTGCATTGATTTATCAAATTACGATATTGACGGGGCATGTAAGTAATCTAAAGTCAAAGGGAAAAGAATTACCATATGAAGGTATAGCAAGTAAAAGCTTGTTAAGAGGGGTATCGTATAATAAATGCTAAGCTTCGAACTTCAAAAACTATTAATCAGAAAAAGTGAAACATATTATTTACAACCTAATGAACTATATCACAATTTAGTGTTTTTTGAAATAAACATAGTTTTAAATAAAAGTAAACGTATCAGAATAGGTATTTTATTTTTCTAAAGTGTAATATGATTTATATGAAACTGAAAAGGTTTTTAATTAAAAGTAGTACTTCAGTTTAGATAAGAAATTCGTGGTAGAAAACACTAAGATTAAGAAATTCTGAAACTTAATTAATTTAAAACTCTTTACAGGGCCCGTCATGCTGGATGAGTTTGTGGAATGGCTGCGCCTGCAGCGGAGCCAGGTCACCTCGACTTCCGGGTCCAGCTGAGAGAAGCTGTACCGAGTCGCCTATTTCTAGTTCAACTTTGGGAGCTCAGTGCGGAGGAGTTCGCGGAGGCGGAGATGGGATGCGTTGGGAATGCGGATAAGATGAGATCGGCGGATATATAAGACACAACCACAGGACACTCACATCCACACCCACGACCACAAACACAACCACACACTCACCCACACAGAAACACAAGGCATTTTGGAGAGACTGCGTACACTGGCAAAGCAACCAACTATGAAACTAAACTATTGATAATATATTTAATGTAATAATTTATGTATTAACGACAACTAAAAACTAAAACCACATTTTTCTACTTTTAAGGCCTCCCATTGAAAAACAAAAAAAAAACGAAAAGAAAATGAGAAACAAGAAAAAGAACAGCAACAAGAGCCAAAATGGGGGCAGCTTGTAAAAAGTAAACCCAGAAAATGAAACGATGGCAATAACCAAGAGATCCCCAATAGACCTAATCTAGAACATACAATTGAACTCAAGCGACCCCTTCAAGATATCAGCAAGCATAGTCAAAATCTCAACGAAATTCAACACCAATACTGGGGAATTTGTAGTCGTTATTAAATCAATGTAGAAAAAAAACAAAACATTTGGGGACTATTTAATAAAATTATTAAGTGAAGATATCTCACTATGCTTTATTATTTATAATTTAGTTTGCAAAAGGGTGGTATTATTATGTCACAAAAACAAACTGCTCTTAAAATTTTTTTTTAAAACAGATGTCTAAAGTCCTGACAAGGCAGGCTTTTACTACCTCTTCTTTTTAATATAGAGCATTCACAATAATTATGTAAGAAACTTTGAAACTAAAAAAAGATAAAATTAAAATATAAATTTGGATTATATCTTTATATAAGCAGTTAAACACATTCAAAAGATTAACGGCTGAAGTGAACAATATTTAATTGCGTCAAAAAAAACCGAAATTTTATTTTTTTTAAATAAATGCCGCTCGACAAATTCAAACAAATAACGGCTGGAAAAAGTGTTTAACAGCACTGGTGATAGAATACCGCAAATAACTTCGATATATACCAGAAAGTGTGCGATAGCCGGCAAAACGGGCATACTATTCGGCCGACGCTTGTCGCCCAATTCATTGGCATTTAAAAATCGAACGGTTTCGGCGCGTTGTCCGGTCAAAATCGAATGCTCGAATGGTCAAAATAGAAAATTGACCGCCGCATCTTTTGTCAATTGTGTGGATCTCCGTTTTTGTCGCCTTCTTAACCGATCGTTCGTGGTAATTCGTCCAGTTCAGCCGGAAAACCAGGATTTTTCGCTACTCCAGGCGAACACCAGTGCAAAAGAGGCAGTCCGAAGAAGGAGATCAAGATGGCCGCGAAGCCCGAGGACAAGAGCACGGATATTCCGGATCGTCTTTTCGATTCCAACCAGCGCAAAACCTACAAGCGCATGCGGTTCTTCGGCAAGGTGAGTGCGGATGTGCGGATGTCCGGATGCGCATGCGGATAAGTCCTGGAAAACATACCGATACCCTCACACACATCCATCTTCATATCTACATCCCGGGTTTTTGGCTCCCTTTTCCTTTACGCTCCTTCTTCATCTTTGTTGCTCCCTGTTGTTTTTGTTGCTTTAAAGGAGAAAGAGAGCGGGAGAGCCTGTGTGTTGGAATGTGCGTGCGAGTGTGTGTGCGTGCAGTTGCCAGCCAGTTGTTCAGTTTTTTTTTGTTTTTTGGCGCGATTTCTTTGAGATTGTGTAAATTTTCACTATAATACATAGCTCAGCAAATATAAATATATCCTAGGCTCAAGTCAAACATGTGTTTCTATTACAAAAGTATTAACTTAACTTATAGATTTAATTTGCATTTTAATATGTGTATTATGTATTCAATTTTAACATAAGTTCCACTTGTTAAAAAAAATGTTCACAAATATGTGCAAGTTTTTTATCGCGAGGCTGAAAATTTTCTATCGGCAATATTTTTACTTTTATCCAGTGTTTTTTATAGTTCAATTTTTATACATACATTACAAAATATAGCAATATTCTTCACATCGTATAACTTTCATATCTTTAACCTCCAGCTGATATTTACTCTATTTGTGCGTTTCCTATTATAATATAGCCTTTTCTATTAATTTAAAATATTTAGGCCATGTTTTTCTCCTTTTTTATACAGTGCACATTTTCTTAAAAAGTGTATATTATAATTAATCAAAGATTTAGCTATGCCCGTTGTGAAAATATTTCTTAACCTATTAAATACATTATATTTTCCCAGGGCGGCTTTGCAAAATGCTACGAGATAATAGATGTGGAGACCGACGATGTCTTTGCAGGCAAAATCGTCTCCAAGAAGCTGATGATCAAGCACAATCAAAAGGAAAAGACCGCCCAGGAGATAACCATCCACCGCAGCCTTAACCATCCGAACATTGTCAAGTTCCACAGCTACTTTGAGGATGTGCAGAACATCTAT